AAATTTTTTTTTGTTAAAACTAAAAAAAAGGTAATAAAAGGAAAAAACAAAAGAAGTCAAAGGAAAAAATTGTTTATTCAATTCCTGTTTTTATTTGTTATAAGTTACGCAAGGTAAAAAAGTAAAGTAAAGTAAAAGACAGGTGAGCAAATATTAAAAAAAAAATTTTTTTTTTTTTTTTGTTTAACTTTTCTGTTGTTTTAAAAAAATTTTTTGTTTTTTTTTTTTTTTGTTTTTTTTTTTTTTATAAAAATGGTTTACAACCCAAAAAAAGGAAAAAAGATAAAAAAAATTTTTTTTTTTTTTCCTTTTTTTTATTTCAAAATTTTATCATGTACATACAGTATGTGTATGTACGGCAGTGCGTGTGTAAGTGATTTAATCATGTACATAATTAATATATTTTATTTATTTATTTATTTTTAATATCATTATTTAAATAAATAAATATTTAACGATATTTTAATTTTAGTTTAATTTCCTTATAAAAAAAAATTTGGGAGAAAAATATTAAAGATGGTGTGAATATTGTGAGTTTTACCAAAAAAAACATCCAAAATAATTTTATTTGTGATTTGGTTTATTTATTTATTTATTTTATTAAATTATTTCTTAAGATAATATTATTAATTTTATTTTTAGGGATTCGAATAATAATAAGAATCATGGATGTTATGGAAATAAAAACAACAACAACCGGAAGTTCTTCTTTGTTACAACAAAACGATAGAAAAATGGATTTGTTAAACGAAGAAACATATCGAAAGTTATTTTACTACGATGAGCCAAAAAAATTACCGTTTATAAAAAAATTAAAAACAACCATTAAATGCGACAAACAAATTATTTTTAATATTTTTCCAATATTAAAATGGTTGCCTAAATATAAAAAAACGGATTTGGTGAGTGATATAATTGCCGGTTTGACTGTCGGAGTCATGCACATTCCTCAGGGTATGGCATATGCTCTCCTTGGTGGCGTACCACCGGTCGTTGGTATATATACAGCTTTTTTCCCCGTATTAATGTATATATTCATGGGAACTTCACATCACGTGTCAATGGGGACTTTTGCTGTTGTTTCCATGATGGTGGGAAAAAGCGTCGACGAATATGCTTTCGTTCCCGAAACGAATTCTACGATTTATTATTTGGAAGAACCCTCAAAATTAACACCGATTGATGTGGCTTCTGCTCTCTGTCTCGTAGTCGGATTCTGGCAATTAGCATTAAGTTTTTTCCGACTGGGATCTCTATCAGTTTTATTATCACAAACCCTGGTATCGGGTTTCACAGCGGGTGCTGCCGTACACGTTCTCACGTCACAAATTAAAAATTTACTCGGTATAAAAGCTCAAAGATATTCGGGATCATTTCAAATATTATATCGATACGTCGACATTTTATCAAATTTATCCACGGCTAACGTGACTTCGGTTATTTTATCCCTATCCTTTATAACACTCCTGGTCACTTTTAACGAATTCGTAAAACCATTAATGCAAAAAAAATTAAAGAAAAATATTCAATTTCCCATCGAGCTGTTGGTGGTAATACTCGGAACGTTGTTATCCATGTTTCTTAAATTAAAAGAAAATTACGGTGTCGTTATTGTTGAATATGTTCCTAAGGGATTACCCTATCCCACCGTACCCCACGTGAATATTTTACCTAATCTCTTAACCGATGGTTTAATTATTGCCATTGTGGCAGTGTGCATTAATATTTCGATGGCGAGTATAT